TGAGAGGGAGAGGTAAGCTCCGGTGGGCTCCCCGTGTCCTGCTCTCCGAGCTGCCCCAAGGTGCTCTGGGGTCCTGCTCTCAGGAGTCTCGTCTGTCCAGACCCCCACCCAGTGCGGGAGGGTGGTGGTGGGGGCGCAGCTCTGTCACCTGCTGGGGGCCGCGGGCTCGCCCTCGACTCCTGGAGTCCAGGCGCAGTAGGGTCTCCGGACTCCCCGCCTCTCCTTAGATCCGCATCCTCGTCCTCAGAGTCCCTCAGTGTCTCCAGCTAGGGTGGCCCGCGCTGGGAGCGGCTCAGCTGGCCGCGCCTCCGCCCGCCGACCCGCCCACCCTTAAAGCCACAGTTTGGGGTGGGGGCTGTTGGGGGAGGAGCAACAAAGCCACCATTCACCGGAATTTCCCGGAGACTTGCATGGGAAAGGTCTGCCCTCTGCTGCTGTCTTGCCCCCACAACCCCATCTGCGAACCTTCAACCATATATATACTCGTGCATATATTTTGGCATTGCATTCAGTCTGCCTCCCATATGGGTTCAACCAAAAACTCGAAGCCGAAAATAATTCAGTGTTAAAAGGGTTAAAGGCTGAACAGCCGGGTTACACAGTCGAGTTTGTTTTTGTCTTTTCCAACAATCGGAGGGCTGGGGCCAGACCCCCCCCCTTCCCGCCCCCCTCCCCCAAGGCCAAGGGTTGAGCCCCACCCACCCCAGGGGCACAGAAGGGCCCCAGGACACACGAAGTCCAGCAGCCTCTCCAGTGGGGATCAGAGGCTCTGCGAGGGTGATTGCCGTCATTGTGTCAGACCAGGCCAGTGCAGAGTCGGGGCCGATCCTCCAACCTCTTATCTCCAAGGAACTGGTCCACGGAGAGGGCTGGGTTCTCTCTCCCCTGGCCAGGGAGACCGGTGACGCATTACAGACTTTCATCTGTAGTGTGTGTGGTCTGCATGAATGCCCTCATTTTACAGACAGGAAGTTGAGGATTGCAGACAGGCAGAGCTTTGCTCTGGTCACCTGAAGGGGAGGACAAGCTGCTCGGGGGACCAAAGGCATTAGCAGCCTTCTTGGCTCAGGGGCGGCGGGGGGCTGGGGCCAAATGTGAGAGAAAGCTCGAGGCCAGGACCCTTTCTCCTTCCTGAACAGGTAAGCGTCCGGTGGGGCGTGACTCTGCTCCATGCCTGGAGTGAGATCGAGGCTCAGGGCTGCACAGGGTGGCTAGTACTCCCGCTCAGACCCACTTAAACCAGGGGCCCCTGGCCCACGCTGGCTATTCAGGGCCAAGCTGTGACCTCTGAACCCATTCGGTCACGTCTAGGCCAGAAGACCATTCAGTCTAATGGCATCAGTCAGACAGAGGCCAGGGCCCTTCCTCCCAGGGTAGTCCTGAGGGGTTAGCAAGAGCGTCTCCTCCTGGCGCTGGCCTGGCGCCTTTCCCCTCCTTGATTGTGACCTCCCTGAGGACCAGGACCAGATGTGGTTGGACCACAGGGGAGGAGTGGGACTGGGGGCTGATGTGAACCTGGGGATCTGGCCCAGCTGGGCTGACTCTTGTCTTCCTCTCCCCCCAGCCCCTGGTGTGGACCATGATGTTTGGGTATCCTGGTGGGCCCTGCTGGCTAGGGCACCCTCGTCTCTCCGAACGAGCAGCCCCAGACCTTCCTGGGGATCAGCTGTGACTCAGAGAACATAGGTCACCAGCTTCTGGACAAAGGGTGAGCAGCCCAGTGTCTAATCACCGCAGGGCCAGTCCCCCCTTGAGTCGGTGTAGATACCATGGGGCCGTATGCGTGAGCGGCTCCTCTCCGTGCCCTGACGGGAATCCACTGCAGTCCCACAGGGAGGGAGGGAAGGAGGCAGCCAGCATAGAGCCCAGGCTGGTGGGAGCTCCCAGGACATTCCTTCACATCAAATAGCAACAGGATTCTGAGGGGGAGGCTCAGGCCATGAACCGGGGCCCTCAGCCAGGGCTGATGTTGCGCCCCACGAGCTATGGAGACGTATTTGATCATCACAGCTGGGGTGGGGTGGGGCATCTCGTGTGCTGAGGCCGGGAAGGCTGTTCAGTGCCCTGCATTGCCCCCACACAGCCCGCTCCACCTCCCCTACAACAAAGAACGACCTCATGTAAAGTGTCGGTTGGTCGTCAGAGGTAGAGATCCCAGCTAAGTCATAGACGTTCCCACAGAAGTGCCTTGTCCAAAGCCACAAAGCTCCTGTCCGGGAGATAAGTGCTGAAATCCATATTAATCAGAATTTACAGACCCATGGGCACCTGCTTATTTACTGCCACTGACCCCTTCTCATTCAATCCACCCACCTACCTCCCAAACCATTGCTACAGCCTCTCCCTGCCCTCTCTGTTTCCAGGCTGCCTGTCCTCAATCCTGCATCAGCTGGAGCTTTGAAACCACAACCAGTCCCTCCCCTGCTTAAATCCTTCTATGGCTCCCTATTGCCCTCTGTTCCTAAGCCCTTTGTGACCAGGTCCCTGTCCCCCACCACCTGCCCCAAAGCCTCATTTCCTGCACTCCCTACCAGGCCACTCTGAGCCCACCTATGTGCTCCAAGCACAAGGTCATGCCTTTGAGGAAACTGCTTCCCAGCCTTCAAAGGCCCTCCTCTCTCACCTCTCCACCTGGTGAGTTCACATACTTCCACTAACACTCAGGTCACAGGCTACCTTCTCCAGGTGACATCCCCTCAGTGTCCCAAGGTAGAATTACCTGCTTCATCTTCCAAATTCTCATTAGCCTTTAACATACCATTGATCATAGCATCGATCACCCTTATTAAATGCCTTTCTACTAAATAGACAGACATTCCAGAAAATGTGAGAAATACCAGTAAATTAAAAGAAAATTGGAGCATTCTTGCTCACAAATCAAGAACAGTGTGTCTCCAACCCTATAAAGGGTAAAGAACACATTTTCCTAAATGGGCCCTCATCTGCACTGGCTTCACCCACCCTCCTGTGCCCTGGGGTGGGTCATTCTGAGGCCAGGACCCAAGACCACACTTGGAGAAGCCAGGAGGTCAGGGGGCTGCTGTCGGAGAGATCCGCCCCCAGCTCTGTGTCCCAGCTCCGCCCCAGCCTGGCCGTGGGCCCTTGAGCAAGGGGCGGCACTGCTCTGTGCCTCCACGGACTCCCCGGTGGGTAAAAGGAACAGTGGGGCCACGTTTCCCAGGGTTTTATTACGATTCCATGAGCAAACATGCTTAACAACAGTGCTTGGCTCACCGTCAGTGTCCGTAATAATTACTGTGCTTGTTACGGACTCGAAGGAGACAGGAAACAGCGAGGGAATCCATGATCTTATTGAGAGAGCATGCCCCCCTGCCCCTCCCCACCCCCAACTTCTAGCACAGGGGTTCCGCCCCCCTTTCTCAAGATTTGAGACTCACTGCTATCCGGAGACAACTACGGTCACATTTGAATATAACTCTTTCCAAATGTTTATATTGTACAAAAGTCTGATCGTGTCATTTTTTTTAAAAGGCCTTATTTACTTGGAGGGCGTTGGTGGCCCAGTGGCAGCATTTTCGCCTACCATACGGGAGGCCAAAGTTCTCATGCACAGCCACCAGCTGTCTGTCCTGGGAGGCTGGTGTGCTGCTGTGAGGCTGAGCATGTGTCAGCAAAGCTTCCAGCCCGAGAAAGACGAGGAAGAAAGACCAGGAAATCTACTTCGGAAAACCAACACATGACAACCTTGTGGGTGACAGCAGTCGTGCAGGGGACCAGCCTGAGTTAAGGACAACCTCAGTGGCAGCCAAAACCATGTTGCTATGTAATAGAATCCTTCAGGGACATCTTGCCACATCTCCCTGTATATGTTCAGTGCGGGATGGCCATCGTGGGCTCCGTCCCTATCTCTGTCTCACTGGCACTCAGTAGGCCCACCAGGCTCACTCCCTGCCATCGAGTGGATTCTGACTCATAGTGATCCCATAGGACCGGGTAGAACTGCCCCTGTGGGATTCTGAGACTGTCACTCTTGACGGGAGTAGAGAGCCTCATCTGTCTCCCACAGAGAGACTGCTGATGTCCACTGCTGGCTTGTGGTGAGCAGCCCAGTGTCTAATCACCGCAGGGCCAGTCCCCCCTCGAGTCGGTGTAGCTACCATGGGGCCGTATGCGTGAGCGGCTCCTCTCCGTGCCCTGACGGGAATCCACTGCAGTCCCACAGGGAGGGAGGGAAGGAGGCAGCCAGCATAGAGCCCAGGCTGGTGGGAGCTCCCAGGACATTCCTTCACATCAAATAGCAACAGGATTCTGAGGGGGAGGCTCAGGCCATGAACCGGGGCCCTCAGCCAGGGCTGATGTTGCGCCCCACGAGCTATGGAGACGTATTTGATCATCACAGCTGGGGTGGGGGGATCTCGTGTGCTGAGGCCGGGAAGGCTGCTCAGCACCCTGCATTGCCCCCACACAGCCCGCTCCATCTCCCCTACAACAAAGAACGACCTCATGTAAAGTGTCGGTTGGTCGTCAGAGGTAGAGATCCCTGATTCAGACTAGCTCCCATAGGATCTCGGCATCCAGGTGGTGAGGCGGGTGAGGCACTGGCCTTCCAAGGGAAAGGTCGCACATTGGAGCCCGCCAGTTGCTCAGAGGGGGGCAGATCAGACCGTCTGGTTCTGTAAAGACACACAGCCATAGAAACCCAGGGACGCCGGTCCACTCTGCCTTTAGGGTCGCCGTGAATCAGAATGGACATGGTGCCAGTGGGTTTGGTTAAATGATAGAAGCCGGCTCGTTCAAACGTTTTCAGACCCTGAAGAGTGAGTCCGAGGATGCTTCTGAGGGTGGTGGTGTAGGTGGAAGCGGACATGGCTCTTAGACCCTCTTCCAGGCAGTCTGAGCAGGTCCCCTTATGTGAGCTTTTGATACGAGGGGACTGACTGTGTTAGCTTTCCTTTGGGAAAAAGCCTGGGGTGGGGGGGTGAGGGAGATGAGAACATGCTTGACAGCCACTACCTTGCTTCCATCTCTATTTTATAGACCCAGAGAGGGGCAGCGAGTAGCTTGAAGTCACACAGCAAATGTCAAGTACAACTTGGAGACAGGCAGGGAGTTCTGGTGTCCAGAGCCCTTGCCACCAGCCGATCAGCCCCAGGGCAGAAGCAATAGCCCCTTGGTCTTGGAAGCTTGTGTCTGGGGGACAAAAGAAGGGACAAACGGACTAAGGCCATGGTTGTGGCCAAGTCAGTCCTACT